GCATCAGCAACTGCATCAGCATCTGCATCTGCATCAGCATCTGCATCAGCATCTGCATCTGCATCAGCATCAGCATCAGCATCAGCATCTGCATCAGCATCTGCATCAGCATCTGCATCTGCATCAGCATCAGCATCAGCATCAGCATCTGCATCAGCATCAGCATCTGCATCAGCATCTGCATCTGCATCAGCATCTGCATCAGCATCAGCACCAGCATCAGCATCTGCATCAGCATCTGCATCAGCATCTGCATCTGCATCAGCATCAGCATCTGCATCAGCATCAGCATCAGCACCAGCATCTGCATCTGCATCAGCATCTGCATCAGCATCTGCATCAGCATCAGCATCAGCATCACCATCTGCATCAGCATCTGCATCAGCATCTGCATCTGCATCAGCATCAGCATCAGCATCAGCATCTGCATCAGCATCTGCATCAGCATCAGCATCTGCATCAGCATCTGCATCTGCATCAGCATCTGCATCAGCATCAGCACCAGCATCAGCATCTGCATCAGCATCTGCATCAGCATCTGCATCAGCATCTGCATCTGCATCAGCATCAGCATCTGCACCAGCATCAGCATCAGCACCAGCATCAGCATCTGCATCAGCATCAGCATCAGCATCTGCATCACCATCTGCATCAGCATCAGCATCTGCATCTGCATCAGCATCAGCACCAGCATCTGCATCAGCATCTGCATCAGCATCAGCACCAGCATCAGCATCAGCACCAGCATCAGCACCAGCATCTGCACCAGCATCTGCATCAGCATCAGCATCAGCATCTGCATCAGCATCTGCATCAGCATCTGCATCAGCATCAGCATCTGCATCAGCATCAGCATCTGCATCTGCATCAGCATCAGCACCAGCATCTGCATCAGCATCTGCATCTGCATCAGCATCAGCACCAGCACCAGCATCTGCACCAGCATCAGCACCAGCATCAGCACCAGCATCAGCATCAGCACCAGCATCAGCACCAGCATCTGCATCTGCATCAGCATCAGCATCTGCATCAGCATCAGCACCAGCATCTGCATCAGCATCTGCATCAGCATCTGCACCAGCATCTGCATCAGCACCAGCATCAGCATCAGCACCAGCATCTGCATCTGCACCAGCATCTGCATCAGCATCAGCACCAGCATCTGCATCTGCATCAGCATCAGCATCAGCATCTGCATCAGCATCAGCATCTGCATCAGCACCAGCATCTGCATCAGCATCAGCATCAGCATCTGCATCTGCATCAGCATCAGTATCTGCATCAGCATCAGCATCTGCACCAGCATCAGCATCTGCATCAGCATCTGCATCTGCATCTGCATCACCATCAGCACCAGCACCAGCTGTGAGCCAGTGGGACTTCAGGGATTCCTGATGCCAGCTTTCCTGCAAGCCACCCTAGCTGACACCATGTAAAGCAAAGACAAGCTGTCCCCGCTGAGCCCTGCCTAGCTTGCAGGTTTATGAGATTAGTGAATAAATAAAGGCTGCTTTTTAAGCCCCCAAAGGTAAAGTGGCATGTTCAAGGTCATCACCAGCTTGTAAGTGACAGAGTTCCACCTCTGTTCAACTCCAGAGCCTCTCTGCCCTTTGCAGTGTGAGGATGTGTTCGAAGAGCTTAGCCCAACAAAGGGCTTCACACTTTGACAAACTCGCATCAGAATCGTGTGGGGATCTTGCTAAAAACGTGGATTTCTAAGTCCTAACCCAGACCTAGTGAATCAGAACCTCAATGTTATGCATTTTAATACGTGGCCCGGGAGGGTCTTCACCACAGTAACAGTTCCCACCCATCAGTCTAAGATGCAGAAGGGAATGCAGTCACCAAACACCAGCTAACTGCCTTCAAGGACTGCTTCCCAGTGGCCAGCTGTGGACCAGGCACTGCTCTGACCCCTGGGGAGTCATAAAAGAAAACAACGCATAAAGAGCAAAACAAAAATGAAAGATAAAATGACATAAAAACAGAGAAAGCCCCCAACCTCGTGCAAATTTCAGTTTAGGGCAAGTATGAGCCTTGGTGTTAGGGAAATAGATGACAAAAAGCAAGCAAAGAATAAGATTATTCCAGAGAGTATTAAGTGCTGGGAAGGGAATCAGACGGGATGACGGGGCACAGTGGAAGGCAGGGGCCGTTTCAGACAGCGGAGGAGGGAGGAGGTCAGGGGAGAAGGTTCCAAGTGTGACAGCAGGGGTCAGGCATGCTGGGCACTTGACGTACATCACTCCATTTGATGCTCATGGCTTCCCTGCACAGGATTTATTAGGGTTCCCACCCTCCACCCGCTTTTACACAAACCTCCTTCTAGAGTCTCCATCTCAATCAGTGGCAAATCCACCTTTCCCATTGGTATGAGTGTCCCGTGGCTGCTAAAACAAAGTACCGCAACCTATGTGGCTAGAACGATGGAAATTTATTCTCCCCCAGTTCTGGAGGTCGGAAGTCAGACGTCATGGTGTCCACATGGTTGGTTCCTTCTGGAGGCGCTGAGGGCGCATCCAGCCCGTCCTGCCCCTCTAACTTCTGGTGGCTGCCCGGCCATCCTTGGCGCTCCTTGACTTGTAGATGCATCACTCCATCTCTGCCCCCATCTTCCCACGCCCAACTCTGTGTGTCTCTGTGTCCTCTCCTTTTCTTACAAAGGCATCTGTCATTGGATTGAGGGTCCACCTTTATCCAGGATCATGTCATCTTGAGATCCATAACTTAATTACCTCTGCAAAGACCCTTTTCCCAAATAAGGCCACTATCACTGGTTCAAGGGGTTGGAACTCAGGCACAGCCTTTGGGGGGGCACTACTGAACCCACGACAAAGTTTCTCAGGTCAAAACATTTGGGGTCACTCTCGATGGTGACTCTCTCTCTTATAACCCACCCCCAAGCCATCAGCCAAACATCTACTGGTCCCAGCTTCAAAATATACCCCGAATATCTTCCTCACCCCCCCCGCCCCATTTTCCTCTCATCCCCTCCCACCTGTACTCCCGTGGCCGCCTCCTCTGGGCTCCCTGCCCCCTCCCTGATGCCCCACAGTCCATGCTCAACATAATAGCAGAAGGGCTCTGTCAAAATCCGGCCAATCAAGTCCTTGCTCTGCTCAAAGCTTCGCAGTAGCTTCTCATCTAAATAAGAGT